CTAAATCTGTGGCACTGTGTCACAGCAGCCCCAGGATAGACAGTTGGGACATAAAGGAAGGTGCTGCCCCGTATTTGTTGGCTCCTGTCCTCTTGGGAATCCTTGGGTGTGTCACCTACATGGGGAGAAGCAAATCTCGTACCTCCTACAGCCTCCGGGGGCAGTGACACTTCAGCCCTGGGACAGCGCAGGCTGCAGTCTTTCCCTGCCACTGCTCAAGATGTTTCCCTGGTGGTATCCATACGGCTGTCTCTGCTGGAAACTTGATTTTTTTCTTTTTGGTGGGGAATGAGGTTGGCACATAGTGGTGTTCAGGGACCTTCCTATCTGTGTCCTCCTCCCCATGTTTGGGGATTTCAGGTTCATAGCATCCCTCCAGGAGGAAGCCAGGGCCCACTGGGACTATTCAGTGTTTGCCTACGCAAATGTCAACGTGAGCTCTGCAGGGAAGGAGGACATCTGCCCTTGGTAGGAAGGCACCTAGAACACCTTGAGACTCACGCCGAGCCACTCTAGACCTTTCTGCTATAGTTCTTGGCAAAGATGTTCTTTTTACTGAGGAGGTTCAATGGACAAAAAAGCTGCTAGATGCCACCTTTCCTGAAGGCAAAATGCATTTATATGGATAAGGGGACACACTGCGCGCTGACACCATCAATTGAGGTCCTGGATCTGGCCATGCCTGAAACCTCCCAACTCGTGAGCTTCACAGTTACGGAAGTCCATGAAGTCCCTAGCAGGCTAGTTTAACTTGTTATCTGTAAAGTAAAGTCTCTCAAATCACATTCATCCTATACAGTGACTTGCCCTAGGAACAGTTTCAAGGAGCCACACTGCACTGCCTGCATGACACCATGATGCACCCTGCATATTGGCCAAGGCCTCAACCAGTTGTAACCATCCTCTGAAAAGGTCTCATTGTGCATTCTCTTACTCCCTGAAGCAGAGCCAACAGACCTCCAACTTCTATAAAAGCCTTCAAGCACTGAGAGATGCCCTCCTTTACCTTCTTTGCCTGTTCAAGTTTTTACTTAACCTTCAAGGCCCATCTCCAATTTGTCATGTCACAGAGCTGCCCCTGATCTCTGGGAACTTGTTTATCTGCTACACTGTAGCATCTGATTATGTTTAACCTGATCTCTGAGCAATGTGAAAGTACTCCCTGTCTTATCCACATCAGAGCCTGCCTGGGCCAGGGGACTCCAGAACCTTTTTATGATAAATGGAAATGTTTCCTAATTGTTTACTAGTACTGTTTTACTCCTCATGGCATAGAATCTATTATGACATATTCCAAGAGGTATAAAGTGTGATGTGTAATAAAAACACATTTAGAACATTTTTATACCTGTTCAGCCTTCATCTTTTGTGAGCTCGTTTGTCATAGCTGACACGAGTTCATGATGTCTCAGATAAACTGCTCTTGTTTCAGGTCCTAGGAGATTTTTTATGCTTCTTTTGGTTCCAGATTTTTCTGTTCTATAGCCTGAGAAGTTTCCTGCTGAATTCTTGCTGGCGATTAAGACTTCTCAACTGTCAAAGTGTTTACTATTTGTATATGTGATTTGGCACTTAGTATATGTCACACCTTGCTGCCTTGCCTATTATACGATTTTCCGTTTTAGTTTTGTTGCACAAGGAATGGATTAGAGCAGAAGTTGTTTAGTCCGAACCACCATAAATGTAGTTGCCTTAAAACAGTACACATTCTCTCACAGTTCTGGAGGTTGGAATTCTGACGTTAGTCACTGGGCTAACAGCAAGGTGTGGCAGGGCTGGTTCCTTCAGAAGGCTCCAGTGTTGAATGTTTCTCCACCTTTTCTGGTTTTAGAGGTCCCTGTATCCCTTGACTCAGGGTTCCTTCCTCCACTCTCAAGCTACCAGAAATAAGAGCTTCATAACTCTCTGCATCTACTTCAATCGTCACATCTCCTTCCCTGATGTGAACTTTCGTGCCCTCCTTATATGGACCCTGTGATGACTCTGGAACCACCTGGACACCCCAGGATAATCTGTCCATCTCAGGATCCTTAATTTTATCACCTTCCAGTCTCTGCATCTCCCTCTTCTCCTGCCCTGCACCGGAGCTACACAATTTGTCACCCTACGTGTACATTTCATATCCAGGTCTGTTTTAGAAATTCCACTTGTTCACCATTGTATTCCTAGGACTTAAAAGGAATGTTGGGTGAATTCTCCTCAAACCAAGTATTTTTCTCCTCTTATCCGTTCCTTCCACTTGTGGACAACCACATGCATGTATTTATCCAGTGAGAGAGAAAGAAATACTGACACCATACTTTAACCCCAGGGGCTTTCCATTCTACATGGATCACACGCTTATGTATGTGGTTTTTTTACGTGACCCTGTGGTGTGGGCAGGGCCAGGCCAGGCAGCAGGCCACCTTGCTGATGGGGAAGGAACCTTCTGGGAAGACCCTGTTTCCAGGCAGATCACTGTCCTCACATCTGAGTAGCTCTGGCTTTAGCAAAGGCCGTGCTTTCTTTCCTTCAGGCTGTTTTTTTCTTGGTGAAACATGACATGATCAAATGGGTGCTAGAGTTTTAAAGTTGTAAGAATATGAGACAGTTGCTTAGGAGAGAAGAAAGACATAGGAAAAGATGTCCTATTGCTGGCAGGAGTGTGGGGAGGCTCAAAGGTGTTTGTGGTTAGGGTTATAAGGGAGGTCTCTTGCCGAGTCCAGATGCTGGGTATCAATGTAGAGAAGAAACAATGATTTTCCCCCAGGCTTGGTATCTGTAAGGCTGGCAAAACTGTGGGAACTGTCCTCTTCCTTTTCTACTCCTGTGATCTGAGGGCAGCAGCTTTGGAGGTAGGAGTGGACAGTGAGAACATCCAGAACATTCTTAATGGAGCACAGGTAAACTGCAATGTGTTTCCTGCAAGGCTGCCTTCTATGTTAACATGACCTCATGCAGTACATGGCAGGGAGGTGCGGGGCAGGAGGGAGTGAGTGTGAGCACCAAGTGCCGAGAGGCTGTGTCTGAGACCCCAGTCCCTCACCAGGGCCCACTGTGAATGGGCAGCCCCTACAAATAAGCTCCCTTTCAAAGGGACTGTGACACCTGTTGCTGCCATGTGGACAACAAAAGGGGAGGCCTGGGAATGTTAAGGTCTTAAAAAGACCCAGTCTTATTGCAGTAGGTCCACTGAGACAGGAATACAGCAGTAAATGACCTTTAATAAGCCCAGAAGTTATTTCTCATTCAGACCTCGTGGTTCTGATTTCTTGTTTGACCTTCCCCTTGAAGACAGTAGTAGGTCAGACCAGGGACCTCCTTTGTAAAGGAAGTTTCTATCAATGCTGCAGACTTCTCCTGACAGGTTTGTCTCCAATGCTTTTCTGGGCTGCATTTGTTATCACGCAGTCTCAGGGACTCCCCAGGATCCTATGATGGCAGATCCTGCAGATGGGAAGGGCTGCCTGCTGCTTGAGTTCCTTTCATAGCAGTTCTTCTGTATTCCATTCATCCTAGGAATTTATGGGGCTTTGGACTTTTGCTGCTCAGACCTCCTGGATTATCTGGGGATTGGTGGGAGCAGAGTAGGTCTCTCTGAGGTAAGTGTCCCCAGCTCACACTTAGGACACTTGGGTGATGCATAGAAGACAGGTGGCAGGCCACCACTCTTCCCTGCCAGACTGCCACTCCCTCAGGACAGCAGCACTCAGTCCCTCCTCAGCACCCTGTGTTGGGAGCTGTCTCATGTGGGACAGCTCTTGCCTCTGCCACCAAAGATGCTTTCTCCTTTGGATCCCAGATGGAGGATCTGTGGGCTTCATAACAGGCGAATGTACTTTGGGGCAGGTTTGAAGGTAGGGAATCAGAGGGAGGGAGGAGCAGAGGAGAAGATTTAAGAGACTGAAGTGAAAGGAATAAACATAAATCAGTGGGGCTCAATGAGAGGTGATTTTTACCCCATAAAGACACTTGCCAACATGTGGAGACAATTTTGGTTGTCACAACCAGGGGCTGCTGCTGGTATCCAGTGTGTGGAGAACACTATACAACGCACAGGACAGCTCTCACCACAAAGAATGACCAAGGCACAGACATGAACAGCGCTAAGGTAGAGAAGCCCTGATGCAACTCCAAGGACTAAGGGTGGGAGGACAAGGGTTCCCCAACAGACTTCCCTGAAAACACCCTCATTCCACTTGGAATTTCTCCAGTGGAAAGGCTCCACTTACCTTTTTGAGCTTCAATTAGTGGTTCAAGGAAGCTCAGGGAAAAGTACTCATTAGATGTGGGCATTCATATGAAGAGTAAATAAGTCGTAAATATCTTCATTGAGATCAGAGAAGTGGAGCGTTGACAATAACTACTTCCTACTAGGCTAGGAAACAGGGTAGTTCTGTTCCTGGGGTGAGCAACTGGGACAAGGTGGTAGACTCAGTTTTGGGGTACACCACGCTATTTTCAAGGCTGAGTGAGGACTCCAGCAAAGCTGAATCTAAGATGTGTACCTGGCTATGATATTCCCTCCTCACTCATGGAAGATCTTTCTTTCAAGACTGCCCTTTGTGAAAATTTTAGCCAAGTACCATCTGAAAGCAAACGATTAAGACCAGCATTCCTGAGTGTACACAGATGACAGGGGCTATAGGTCAGTCATCTGAGCACACAGCTTGGAAAGTACATGCTGACATCATGGCTGAGAACAACCTTTTTGAGCATGTGATCAAACCCTCTGATAAGCGAAACTAAGTCTCAGCTGATGTCCTAGGGGAGCCACCAAGGTTGGAACAGGAGTGTGGGGGTGGAGGAGGCTTCAGGAAAACTCTGAAAATTCTGCAGAATGTTTTGCTTCCGTTCACTTAGATTTAGAGGAAACCTTTGACAAAACAAAACTGAAACCTTATTTCCCCACTGACAGTCTCTGAGTGACCACACACAGATTTGCCCTTAATTATAGACACCTAAGTGGCTTCTGCTGCATGATGCTTTTGGAGGTGTTTTGTCAACATATAACTTATATATAAAAATGTCATCGATTTTAATTATATAATTCGGTAAGTTTCAACAAATGTGTGGCAATGGGTAACCACCAGATCATGGCACAGAATGTTTCTATCACCCCAAAAGTTCCTTTGTATCCTTTTGTAGTTAATCTCTCCCTCTAGCTCCACTCTTCGGCGACCTCTGGTCTTCTGTCACTGTAGTTGGGCCTTTTAAGTAACTGCAAGGTAAAAGGAATCTTACGGTATAGTCTTCTAGGTTTGGCTTTTAAACTTTGGTATGATGCTTTCAAGAGTCATCCATACTGTTGCTTGTATCGGTAGTTGGTTCCTTTTATTACACCACAATTTATCTGCTCAGCAGCTGATGGACATATGGATTGTCTCTTGGCTTTGGTAGCTCAATGAAGAGGCTATAAACATTTGTCTATAGGTATTAATGTGGACATATGCTTTCTGTTTTTTAGGATTCTTGGTTTTTTTGGTAAATACCTATAAGTGGAATTGCTGGGTCATATGGTATTACTTTTCAAGGATTTATCAAACTATTTTCCAAAGCAGCTGCACTACTTCTACTCCTACCAGCAACATATAAAAGGTATAAGTTCAGTTCCTGTACATCCTCACCAGCCCTTGGTATCATCAATTTTTAAAACCTTATGGTTCTGTGCTTGCCTAGTAACCAAATGATGTTCTCTTGTGCTTATCTGCCTGCCACTGGTGTATCTCTGATGAAGTGTCTGTTCAGATCACTCAACCATTTTAAAAAGTGGGTTGTTTTCTGTATTAAATTGGCAAGAGTTCCTTTTTTTGGCGTTGTACTGGGGATCAAATTCAGGATTTTGTGCTTGCCAGGCAGGTGCAGGCAAGAATTCTTGATATGTTCAGCATATTAGCTCTTGTCAGGTATGATTTGTAATTTTACTTTTTAGGCTTACCTTTTCATTTTCTTCACAGTATCATCTGAAGAGAAAAATTTTAAACTTTTAGGATGTCTTGATTTATCAGGTATTTCTTCTATAGTTTGTATTTTCTGTGTGTTCTATTTAAGCAGTTTTTGCTTAATCCAAGGTCATGTAAATTTTCCCCCTTTTCAAGCAGTTTTATAGTTCCAGCTCTTAAATGTGTTTTAGGCCAATTGTGAGTTAATTTTCTGATATGAAAGAAGGGTTGTGATTTATTTTTTTCCTATACAGACACCTAATATAGTATCTACTATCATTCATAGAAAAGATGATTCCTTACTTAGTTGTCTTGGCACCATGAATAGGGGGTCTATTTCTAGATATGACTCTGATTTTACTAAAAAAAGATATATCTTACTTTTTAGAAAACAACAGCACCCAATATAGCTAAGAAGACAAACAACAATAATAATAAAGAAGGTTTAAAAGGTACTTATATTTTTATCACTCTAAACACCGTTTTCACATTTGCATATTCTTTAGTCTATGATATGAACAGAAAAATACAGGTGCTCTCCTATTGTGTTCTGTTGTCATGTATGACATATTTATGATGTGCCCACACGAGCACTGTTGGAACCAAGATTTTCCACACTTTCAGGGTTCCAACATCAGCAGGAGAAGAAACTGTGTGTGAGGGGGAATTGATGCTTTGAGACCACTAAAAAAATCCCAAACACTATGTAGTGGTATCATTGTCATCATGTAAGAGAAAGGCTATTTTGACTCCCCAAACTATGAAGAATATCCAGATTGGCTTTACTAAACCACCATTCTAGAACTGCCCATTAGGACACGTGGAAAGGAAGGTGGTGTGCAGCTCAGTGGTGGAGCGCATGTATGTGAAGCTCTGGGTTTTACCCTCAGCACTGCATGATAAGCTGCAGAAAGAACGTAAGGGTGGTATCTGGAAGAAATACACATTCCGTCACTTTTTTCATGACACTGTGCTGTCTGAGCTTTCATGTCCTTATATGGTGAGTCTTAATCATTCCCACCCCCTTTTTTGGCGGTACCGGGAATCGAACTCAGGACCTTGCGCTTTCGAGGCAGGTGCGGTGCCACTGAGCTAAATCCCCAGGCCCCAAATTCCCCGTTTAGATCTGAAGCTACTTACAATTTTTAAGTCGTTTCTCAGCGCTGGCCCAGCAGGGTTTCAGAAGTTTGAACTCTGATCTGTACACACGCGAAAAGGAGCGCGAAACCTCGGGGCACTTTGTACTGTGACCCGAGCTCTGTGCGATATCCTCGCCTACAAATGAACGTCCGGGACAGGGTGGGAGCTTCAGGCCAGCGCTCGACCACCTTCTGTCCAGCACACATGGGTCTCAGTCCTCCGCCTTTCTCCAGCCCTCCATTGCCGCTACCTTCTTAGACCCGCACTTTCAGACTCCCTCTTAATTTCCTCCCAATCTTGTCCGTTTACTTCAAGACAGGCCGGGCCCCCTTTCATGTCACTGACTGACAGAAACCTCCCACAAAGTCCTTCAACAGGCGGAGGCTAGGACACCACAGTGAAAGAGGGCGGACGCTGCGAAACGCCTGGAAGGCAGGCCTGACCCCAGCAGGGTGTTCCGAGGCGCCCTGGGCCCGATCTCCCCAGGACAGCCTGTGCTCAGCCATCCTCCTGCAGAGCTCGCAGCCGGGTCAATGCAGCAGGCAGGCAGTCAGGTCCATGGTCCCCGAGGTGACCCCAGCTGCGCCCCAGCCTGTGAGGGCGGCAGAGGGTGCTCGTCGGCAGGCCCTGGCAGAGACTGCCTAGACTGGCCAGCTGGCTCGGTACACGGCCAGGGCCCTCAGCAGCGGGCAGGGCCGGCGCGCCTAGCGCCTCGGAGAACACGGGGTCTGAGGACGGAGGGGCCGCTGGCCAAGGGATGCCTGTGTCGCTGTAGTAAACATGGAACTGTGGGCTCGGCACTTTAGAAGCAAGGCGGTCACGGCTCACCATTCTGTGGTTGGAAGGAGCAAACAGCAGACATACAGTCCCGGTGAACAACATGGCTGACAGGTCACAGGGAAGGGACGAGGGCGGGAGACACTTCCACTTCCGGTACATACCGGAAGTAGAGGGGAGGGATGCAGAACCACCTGCTCTCTGAGTAGATGGCACTGCCTCCTAAATCCCTAATCTCCTCCCACTAGGCCCCGCCCCTTAAAGGCCTCACCACCTCTCAATAACCGTGTAGGGTGTCAAGCTTCCAGCCCAGGACCAGAGAAGGCACCTGAAACCATGTCCAGACCGTGGTACCTGGAAGCTAGGAAAGGCGACGAAACAGGTTCTCTCCTGGAGCCTTGTGAATGTACTCAGCCCCACTGACACGCTGGTGGGTGTTCGACCTGTGTAGCACGTGGGATCTCCAGAACTTCGAGAGGATAAATTTGTGTTGTTTTAGGCCACTACGTTTTTGCTAATTTGTTGTAACAGCATTAGAAAATGAGCACATTTGCCCTTGCTGCTCACTTCCCTCTGTTTTGTTTAATAGAATGGTGCGAAAATTACATTGTAAACTTACTAATGTTTTCTTTCGGATTAGCCTGAGAATTTATCCGGCATTTTAAAGGTCGCTTTTTAAGTTAAACAACAACTGCAATAGGTCTTTTGGGATATAACCTGGGGCTATGGGCCTGCCACTTATTAATAGAATTTCCATAGAATACATTTTCTTACCTAAATCCCTGCGGTAATATGCTGTACTTAAAGGAATTCTTTTATAAACATGGATATAATTCAACAAATGCTGATGAATTCACAGCTGTCAAAGAAAAGGGAGCTGGCTAAGTGTTGGATAGAAGAGCCACATTCTGTGTTAGTACACGTGAGAGCCCGCTGCATTTTCTATTTTTAAAAAATTTTGCAATGTTGGCCATTGAACCAGGTCCTCATGTGTGGAAAGTATGTTCTCTACCAAAGTATGTATTTTACCACTAGCTAACGTTACCAACCTCAAATCTATTTTTAAAAGTTTTTTTTTCCTCACTGGCCACGAATTCCTAGGCTCAAGAGATCCTCCTACCTGTCTTCAGCAGGGACTACAGTTGTATGCCACTGTGCCTGGTGTTTCTTATTTCAGTTTTTGAATGCTGAGTAGGAACTGATCTCATCCCAATTTAATAAAGTTTCCGAAACATTTTAAACTGTTCAAAAACTGCTTGATGAAATAGCAAATTTGTTATTACCAGAACAATTCAAAAGGCTGTCAAGATGTTACTGAGGGGATTCCTGAAGAGTGGGAATTTATGTTAGGTTACCCCACGGTCCTTCCCACACTAAGAACATGTGATTTTATGGTCTTGAGTCTCTTGGAACTGCTTCTCAGTTTTCTTGCTCTGATGGCTGAACCCCATTCCAACTGCCCTGATTTTTTGAAGAAACAGATATGCAAAATTAGAGCTGGCAGCGTCCTGAGTGCTTGCTTGCTCTTCTTCCTAACGGGGGTTGATCTTTCCACGGTCACACAGTTGGTCCACTGCAGGGACAGAACTGGGGTCAGCTCTCCTGGACTTCATATCTCAATTGTTTGGCTCCGACCAGGCAATGCTGCCAAGCTTTTTTTGTCCTTTCCCTGGCAGCCATGTCATCTTTGGGGAGGTTGAGGCAATGTGAAGCCAGCTTCCAATGCCCCGGTTTTTTCTTTCCTTCCTTTCCCAGTCACTCCTGCAATCCTTCCTGTTACCAAGGAAATTGTAGTGTGGGGTACAATTCTTTCCTGTTACCAAGCCACTTGCCCTCATCCTTCATAGCTAGGGTGGAAAACATGCCAGGAGGGCCCTGGAGGCATAGAGTTTGATGTGAAATCCAGAAAGTGCTTTTGGCTCTCAACAGACATTTTGGGATTATGATTACACCCTAAATAAAAAGTGTACAGGGTGTAAAAAAAAGTGTACAGGGTGTAAAAAGTGTAGAGAGCAGCAGAGAGTGCACACAATTAATTGATTAGGATGATAAGAATGGGTATGCTTTCTCCTCTTTGAATGTTCAGTGTTGCCAAGCCAGTCAGTGGTAAGGGAAGACTGTTGTGATATAACAGTATACAGGTTTATCTCTTAAGTCAAGAAAACTAAGGGCTGAGAGCAAAAACTGAGCAGCTGTTTTACCTCTTTTTTGTGGGTGAAACTTAGAAAAGAAAAGTAAGATTGCTTATCATTGTTTTCAAAATGTTAGTCATCAAACTTAGAAAGGGGAAGTCTGACAGAGTCAGAGGAGAAGTCTCCCTTGGTGGATGATGTAAGCCAATGTAGCTCCATAGTCTCAGTAAACAACATTCATGAAGGTGGGGGGGAGGGTCCAGATGGGGCTAGTTATAAAGCAAGTAATCAGAAATCTGTTGCCTTTACACCAAAAAAGGTAAGCATTGAAACGGGAAGATTTCATTCAAAATAGTGACCAACTGCAAAAATTGCAGCAAAACAGTGTTTTTTTGGGGGGGCGGGTATGGGGGATCAAACTTGGGACCTTGCGCTTGTGAGGCAGGTGGTGGAACCACTGAGTTAAATCCCTGGCCCTTCTTCTAGTTTTTTAAAGACACTGTTTTGCGGGGCTGGGGGTTTAGCTCAGTGGCACCGTGCCTTCCTCGCAAGCACAAGGTTGTGAGTTTGATCCCAGGTACCGAAAAAAGCACTCTAAAGTAGATCTGCATTAGGGTTTATACCTAGAAGTCCTCCAAGAGCCTTGTGCCCCACTCATAGGCAGGGCTTTGGGAAGGTGACTGCATCATGGTACTACAGCTAACATCATGTTAGGACGTGGGGCCTGGAAGAAGTGGGTCACTGGGGTCACGGCCTGGAGGGGTGTAGCTCCCTCCCTGGCTGCCCCCTGTGGTTTCTGTTTCCTGGACCCCACGATGTGACCAGCTTTCCCCCTGCTATGCCCCTCTACCATGCCGTTTCCTGCCTTGGAGCCAGCCAACCTGAGTGGACTGAGTGTTGGATGTTTGTTCCAGCATGAATGAATGACTAGGACAATCTGTAAGACCACTTGTAGGAAGATGGCCCAGAAGTGTGTGTGTGTGGCTATCTTTTGAAAAATTTTATATACATTTACATGAAGGAAATTTAATTATTTTGATGTAGAAGTTCTGACAAGTTCATGGAGTTGTGAATTGGCACACACAGGGACCCAGGCAGTTCCACCCTAACTCCCTGCCCCTGTGAAATCCAGTCTCCCTTGAACCTAATCCACGGCAGCCATGGATCTGTTCTCACCCTGTTATTTTGCTGTTCTAGGGTGTCAGGTAAATGAATAGAATGTAGTCTCGCATGTCAGCTTCTGTCCTTAGCTTAATGTATTTCAGGTTCTTCCAAGTTGTTGTGTCAGTAATTTACTCCTTTCTATTACTTAGTAGCTTCCATTTTATGTGCATGCCACTTTTTGTTTAACTGTTTAGCCACTGAAAGACATTGGGTTACTTCTAATTTTTAACCATCATGAATAAAGCTGCTATAAGCTCTGTGTACAGGTTTTGGCTGGAAATATATTTTCAGTTCTCTAGGGTGAGGGTGAACATCCTTGCCTTATTCTTGAGTGTAGGGTGAAAATATTCAACTGTTCAGCATTAATTAAAGTTAGGTGTAGGTTTTTACTACATTTTTTTTTAAACCAGGTTAGAGAAGTTTCCTTATATTTCTACTTTGCTGGTAATTTATTTTTTAAAATCATGAATAGCTGTTAGATTTAGTCAAATGTAGTTTTTGCATTTATGGAGATCACGTGAGGTTTTATGCTCTAGTTTGTTGATGTAGTGGGTCACATCAATTGCCTTTTTAATGCTGACACAATCTCCCCCTCGCGGGATAAACTCTACTTGATGAGGGCACATTGCCCTATTGCTGGCTGTGAATTCCTAATATTTTGATGAGGACTTTTTTTGGTCTATGTTCATGAGGGGAACTGGTCCCTAGTTTTCCTTTCTTATATGGTTTTGCATAGGCTTTAGTATCAGGGTAATACTGGCTGCATAGAATGACTTAGGAAGTGTTCCTTTCTCTCATTGCTTTGGAGGAGATTGTAGAAATTATATTATTCCCTCATTAAATATTTTTCCAATGAAGCTATTTGGGCATGAAATTTCTTTCGTGGAAGATTTTAAAGTACAAACTCAATTTCTTTAATAGGCACAGGACTATTTAATTTATCTGATTCATCTTGAGTGAATTTTGGTAGTCTGTGTTCTTGAAAGAACTGGTCAATTTCATTCCAGTTGTCAAATTTATCATAGAGTTGTTAAAATGTTATTTTGTTATCCTTTTATTGTCTCTGGGATCTGTATGATAGCCCTTATTTTGGTAGTTTCTGTCCTTTCTCTTTTTTTTTTGTCATTCTAGCTAGAAGTTCATCCATTTTCTTGATACTTTTAAAGAACCAGCTTTTGGTAATTTTGATTTTATCTTTTGGTTTTGTTTTCAATTTCATTCATTTCCTGTTCCATTCTTTATTAGTTCTTTCCATTGGCTTGCTTTGGGTTTAATTTTCCTTCTTTTTTCTAGGTTCTGAAGGTGGAAGTTTAGATTATTTATTTGTAACTATTTTCTTTTCCAGAATAACATTTACTAATGTAAACTGCTCTCTAAACACTGTTTTACTTGTGTCCCACACATTTTGATAATTTGTGTTTTCATTTTCATTCTATTCAAAGTATTTTTTAAAAAGTATTTTATAATTTCCCTTGTGATTTACTTTTTGGCTCAGGGATTATTTAGAAGTATTTTGCTTAATTTCCAAATACTTGGGGGCTTTGTAAATACTTTCCTGTTTCTGATTTGTAGTGGAATTCCATTATGGTCACAGAACATACTTTGTATGATTTCAATTATTTAGAATAACTTTTAATAATTCATTAAGATTATGTGACTCAGGATATGGTCTATTTTGATGAAAGTCCACGTGAGCTTGAAAAGACACTGCATTCTGCTCTCATTGGTGGAATGCTCTACAGGTGTTAACTGGGCCAGGTGTGTGGCTAGCATTGTTCAGGTCTTCCTTATTCCTGATGCTCTCCCATCTACTTGTTTTGCCAGTTAAGGAGTGAGGAGTGTTAAAGTCTTCAAGTATAATTTTGGAATTTATT